CTGCATGACTTCATCTCAGGAGAGCAATGGACAAATGCCTGGCAGGTAAAGAAAATATTTAAAGTAAGGAAAACTCAGTGCAAACCTCTTTTTTCTTCTTCATATCAACTGTTTCCTAGAGACTGACCAAAGCTGTGTTAATCCATTAGTTTTAAAAAAGAGTGCCAACTACAGCAGTTTTGAAGAAGAGGATATCTGCTTTGATTCAGTACAAAAATAACACAGACTCCCACTGGGACAGCAGAAAGACCTCTGGCCAAATTGTGAACAGGGCATCGAGTACTCGGAACTTGTCATTGCCCATGAACGTCAGTCTCTGCTGATAGCAAAGACGTAACAAACTATCGAACGGCTTAGCACCTTTTCTGCATTCTTGTTAATGATGATACAGGTTAAAGAGTGATAAAGGATCACAGGGTAGGATGTTCACACCCTCCAGGGCTTTACAAACGGTAACAGAAGTGCGCTTTGAAGTGTATCTGCAGGAATTCTGCCACTTACTGCCACTGAAATGCAAACAGAGATAAGTAAAAGCAACAACACCAAATGTAATTAACACCAAGAAATAATTTATTATAATTGACTGTTACATAAATTCAGTAACCACTGGTGCTTTGCTTTGTTGTTAGTAATGTATGCCAAAAATACGCCTTATGAATTAAACAAGAGAGAACTGAAAAGGCACAATGGAGTATGAACATAAGAATGGATACAAACAATTGGATTTGTAACATTAAGCCCTTCCAGCTTGTTAGGTTCTGGTAGCTATTTGATCTGAAAATCTTGTCCTGTTGTCTCTTAAAAGAAATCAGATTCTAAAATTTAACTGGCCAGCTTGGTCCACTCTCCCACAAACCTTTGTGTAAAAATGTGCTTCTAAACACGAAACATGTTGCTAACTTGATTTCTCTTGCAACCAACTTGCAACGCTATACTTACATTTCTTTGTAAACAACTGAAGATAGTATCGTATCCACAGCATCCTGAAATCAATTCTTTTTAAAAATTTAAATCTTGTGCATAACATAAAAATCGGCCTTTTTTCGTTTCTCGGTACATATTTCTAAAACTCTCATTCTCGATATACAGTATGCACACATACATTCATATGTACTGTACATATTCTGCATTTTCAGACAATCAACAGTTTAAACATAGTAATTTAACTCTACGTTCGCTCCCTAAGCAGAGATAAAATACATTTATTTTTACTTGTCATAAATAAATAATAAAAAGTAACTTAAATGTATTTAGCCATTTTCAATTACAGTAACCAGGCATTTTGTGTCCTCCTTGCTTTTTTATGTCTTGCAGAATGAGGATTTAGTGACTAAAGCTTGTTTTTGTTTTAAAGAAAATATGCTCTTGGACATAATTACATAAATGCATAACTGGCCTACTTTTAATGCATGACATACATAAACCTTTCTTCTGTATATTCTTGTTTAAAAATAATGCCCTAAACTCTTATCCTCCATGTGTCTAATTACATAAATAAAATAAATGCTAAATCTTACATAAGACATCATAACATACATATGGGGCCCTTTGCTATCTTGTAATTCCACTTTAATAGTCATATTCTGGACACATGTAACAACTGTAAAGTAAGTGTAAAATGTACTACCTTCAAGCAAATGTAACCTTACAAACACAGGACCCTTCTCAGCATGACTGGAAAAACTTAGTCCGAAAGGCATATACAGTAGCACATACTGTAAAGGTACTCATTTTCTGAAACATAAACCCTCAAGGCCACTTTGTTGCAATTTAAACACTCGAAAGATGTCTGGATAGATTCTATCAGTGAAAAGTGTGTTCTGATAGAACATTCAGAATTCAAAAAGATTGAAATAAATGATACTAAGAACATTGCTTTACATTTCTGAAATACTCTCTTAAAATAATTATATTGACATTGTATTGCTCATAAGGAAAAGAAAAAAGTGATTTTTTTATGATTGTATGTACTGTGATTTGTAAAGTACATACAGTACATCATCTTTATTCATATAATCATTTGGTCCAGCAGAATATACAAAGCACAGCTTGCTTAATACACAGTTGATGTGATCTCCACGTTAACTGGGGGTTTAAAAAAAAACCCCAGAAAACTGAAATAATGTAATGGGGACACCTCGATCTATACCTCTTCTGGCAATTATAAAGTGATTTAACCAAAGCTGCATGTAAACTGTAACAGTGCCAGTGGATCTTACTGTTTTGAACCCGTGAGCAGTTTTTAATTTTAGAAAAGTGCCTCTTGATGCAACTGCTTTGAAATGAGAGATGGGTAATATGTCTATTTCATTTTGGATAAAAGACATGAAATCATTACAGAGATAATTACTTGGCAGAGACATTTAAGAATAAGAGAGATTGCTTCAACTCAAATTAATTATATTTTATTATATTTGCAAATGGCATATGGGAGAATTAACAAAAGTAGTTACTAAAATTATCCATACATTCGTATGGAAGAGAATGAATATTTTCCCCATCCTCTTCATGCCATAATGTGTTAGAATATCTAGGCTCATAAAGCTACATTTCACAAAAAGTTGAAGAACACAAAGGCCCTCACTTTTCTAATTGTATGAGGGAAATATCGCCAGTCAGAAATGGCTGATAAAGGTTTCAAATGGCAGAAAGAATAAAATGAAAGCATGCATGCAATTCAAAACAATGATGAATTCATCTGTGAAGTTAAACAGGTATTTGATTTGTTTTTTCAGTGCTCTGTGTATTTATCCCCAATCGTATCATTGATGAACAGATTATATTAGAAATTCCAATAGCAGGGTAAAAATTACAAAAAAAATCTGGGTCATTGTAGAATTCATATAATGTGCATCAATGAGCAAAGATACTTTAACAACTCGTAGGGATGATGTGTTTGATGTTCAAAAGACACCCTGTTGCAGGATGAGCATTCTTCTCTGTCAAAGTGGGAAACTTTTTAGTTCCAAACTGCTGTAGGGAAAACTAGATAATGATTTGCAGATGTGTACATTCAAGCAAAAAAAAAAAACAACACTGAGTATACAGTAGATTTATCCCCAACAAACTACTACTTTTTTTTGCATAGGAACGCGCACAATGCACAGAGTACCCGAAGAGATGAAGACCAGCTGCACCGCTAGACTAATGAGGAATCACAGACACAATGCAAATCAAGTTAGGAGCATCAACGTGTTCTTATTATAATCAGTTCTAATTAGCGGACAAGAGTGATTCTATGTTCTTGGGCAGATTTAACAACTCTACTACCACTAGCCAGGATAATAAAAAGGCATGCTGGAACTTAACATTTCCATGCACGTACAGATATCCTCTCACATGAAACCACAGAAAAATAATAGGCTAAATAATTTGTGTTTAGGAGGTATCGAGTAAAATCACGCTTTGCTTGAACTATAGGACCTAATCCCTAATACGGCAGCAGAAAGTGATATTAGGATCATAAGATTTAATGAGAATAAGACGTATGCTAATTAGAAACGTCACAATAGTTATTGTGTCGCGATTATTTTTAACCATACAGGAGATACACTGTCATTGCTAAATCCCATTCCCCACGGCTGAAGCCCTTAACTGAGGTATTGTAGACAATTTCACCAATCAAAAGATAACAGTTGATTCGTGTCGTGGAACCTAAAGCATCTTCGTGATCAAGAAATGTCTACCGAATTGTTCCCCCCAAAGAATGAGTTAATTGAGATTTTGCCTTTCTAAAAAGTATTCATACAGCTACAGCTAATCATTTGGCCATTTTGTTCACGTTGCGCAGAGAAAACATGTTACATCGCCGCGTCTGTTTTCTTCCGAACACCTCCATGCGCTTACGAGCAGCACGCAACTCCTAACGTTAAGATCGGGCAGGGGGACATCAGAAAGAAAATGGTACAGGTTTGTAAGAGATGGGTATTTAAATAATACGTGTTTGTCTCTACGGAACTCAACTTCTCCGGGCCCGAATGACAACTGTCTCCAAGCTGGGGGGGTGAGTGAAGTCACATCGTGTAAAAAAAAAGACATTGCTCTCAGGTCGTATAATTATACGTATAAAATACGCCCATTATATCTGTCTTATTTTAAGAAATGCGTGGTGTCGTTCGAATGTGGAATTTCACACTTCACTGCATGTAAAAATGGCTCAATTGCGTTTTTTTTACGCAAAAGGGTAATTGACAATTTCATGCACACCACTTACATTTGTGATATCATATGGAAACAAAAAAACGTCAAATGAGCGCAAGGCAGCTTGTTCGTGTAATGCTAAAATACATTTTCTATTCTAATTTAACTTTCCAATAAAGTTAACACATTGCACTGAAGTGAAGTGGCGAATCTTATGGTACTTGTGGGGTGGACAGGATATACAGGTACTACAAAGTTGCAAACACGTAAAACAATGAAACGGCATTCTGTTCTCTATCAGCTCTCTTGCCAACTGTGCCCAACAAAGGACAAGCTTTTTGACCTGGACACTTTTCATTTGGAAAGAATACCGAGGAGAGAGAAAGAACAGAAAGAAAAAGAAATGTTTTAAATGCCCGTTTAATTTTTGCATTTCAAAAGCCGAAGAAATAAAAAGCATAGCATTTATTTTCAGCGTTCATCACTATCAAACCTTCTATCCCCTTACCCCGGACACCTACCCAGCTGGTTGAAAGCTAAATATCTAAGGAGAACGACCGTGTACAGCAGCACCTGGCTGGAAAGTGCTCCACCACATCCCTGCCGACAGCTTCCCATTCAGAGCATCACAACAGAATTCCTCCACACACACGCACATACTGTATCAGGGCGAGAAAACAACCGTTCGCGGAGAAGCACTAACCTTTTTTATGTAGTAAGAAGGTGCTATCGAAAAAGAAGGAAAAACGCCAGCCGCGGAATTAACACAGAAGCGCGTTGAAAACATCCCCCGTTCCTTTAAATCCTCCTCTTTACAACGCGCTTATTTTCCCTTCTCCCCCAGCTTGTGTGCGCCTTACCTGAAGGGCATCTCCCACGACTGCAATTAGCTGCCAAGATTTCATTGTGGTCGGGACTGCAAAAAAAAAAAAAAGAAAAAAGTGCCTCCTGTTTCTCGGTGGGGGGAAAGCGAGAGCGAGGAGAAAGAGAGAGAGAGAGGGAGAGAAAGCGAGCAGAAGCAGAGCGAGAGGTACTGGAAGCTGGAGAATCGTACCCACGTGTTGCCAATATAAATGACTACAGACATCTGTCACTGTGCTTGCCGAGTCCATTCGCTGTGCTTGCGCATCTCTTGTCTTCCCCCGGTTCCTCCACACTCTGAACTGCCTCTTTCATCCCCTCCAGGTGCATGTGTTTCTTTGCTTATTGTAACCATTCTCCCTTTGCTCGGGCGGCAGGTTAACCCATGTACAGTGTTGCTCTAATCTAATATCACACTAGGCTTAGCAGATGTCGTTTCATTCCTTCCTGTCATTTTAACCACTGAACAATAGAATGCAGCCAAATATTTTCATGCATTAACTTGTAATCTACCCTTGTCCACAGGGTGAAGTGTCTGAGGGCCAGCTCACTCTGAAACTTCTGGCTTGCTCTGTTATAGATCTGTGAGGTGCATTGTACACAGCAGCTGAAATGGTATTTTTCCCCCCACCACATGCATCCATTTCTGTCTGCATTCTTAAAATGTTGACAGGTATTAGGCCAAACGTGTTTAGGTCTTGGGTGACACAGGTAATCTGAAAAGCATGTCAGAAAGGAACCTTAGGTAGCTTCTGTAGATCAATGGGAAAGCTCTATCTGCTGCTCCAGCTTGGTGACAGGTTACATAAATTGGGTTAACATTTCCCACAGCGTAGCAGCAGACACAGGCAGACTAAAGGACTTGTCTAACACTAGGGACCTCAACTGTTTCCCAACACTCCTGCTGGTTTGAAGTGCTGGAAGAGGAGATGTTTATAACCCACCTCATCCCACTCTCGCATTATCATAACCAAGCAGCAGATCTGTACTGCGAACAGAAATCAGACTGCTCTTTGCAGGCAGAATATTAAAGCATGCAGTTGATTCTGGTAGTAAATTTTTATGACTTAAGGTGAAATGGTTACTGTAAAAATAGTTTTAAAAATGCAATCACCTTTTTCCCATAACTTGTCTTGAAACGTATCTTACATTGATACTGATTTCTGCATCTGCTGGGTGGAACACCTGAATAGGCTTAGCTTTCTATACAGTGAGCAGTATGATACTTGAGACGCATTGCATGTGGCTTAAACAGTATGATGCAGAAATATCCGAAACAGGAGAAATTAGGAGACAGAATTTCTGATGTTATTTTTCACTCATGAGCTGGACTGTAATGTTTCAGATTTGTGGACCCAAATGTGGACAATGGTAATTCAATGTCAGTTTGAAATTCAATGTTTTTTAGTTCATTTGCATTTCACTGATATTCAGATAAGCACAGTCCATTCCTCCATTTGGAGGAGGCTTGTTCTAAACAATTTAATGATTATTTTTGAATTTGCAAGTTTTTTAAAGAACTAAATACCACATAATGGTAGGGTATCCCAATTGTAAGTGTCTACAGATGGGAGTATTTTGCACACTTTATGTTATTCTTCTTGTTGACAGCAGATCCAATTAAAATGGTTGCTGGAGACACATTTCGGTTTCAACACCTAATACAGGAATAACAACTTTGAGACCAGCAGGGGCATTAAGGAGAAAAAACCCTCTTTTCACTTCTGATAAATCTAATATATAATACATATGCAATAACAATTATTAAGTGAGAAGTATCCTTTACTCTGTCACATGTCCATTTTTGCCTCCTTAGCTCTGTCTCACACATATATGCGTGCACACACACACCACAGCTCAAGCCCCTTCCCTGTTCTCTCAAGCATTAAATATGTACCACATGACAGAAGAGGGCACCTTGCATAGTCCTGTGTGTCCACACATGACAGCCAATTTCAAGTGCAAGGGAAAGAGAGGGGGAGAGAGACAGGAGGATGGAGATTGCACAAAAGAAAGACAGTCATGGGGAAAAAAGTACACTTGAAATAGTCCTCCTAAAACCATTTATGCGTATTTATTAGCCTCCTACATAATGCATAATGCCTGTAATAGTTTGTAATTTATTCATGACACTCTCGCTATTGTTCTATACATTTATACAAAGTAAAACAGGTGCTCAATCTTTTATTTTTACCTTGTCATTCTTCTGAACCTGCCTGCTTAGGTGATTATTTATTATATATTCTTATTAGTCTCTGTAGAGCTTGTGAAAAGAAACGGGGTCCTGTTTCAAGGCACAAAGCGAGAGGCAGGCATTCAGCAGTAAGACGGAATTTTAATTTTCATGATTGTTTTTATTTTTAGCCCCCAAGGAAGAGAAGCCAGACTTACTCAAACCAGTATCAGAATGATTCACCGAAAGAAACCACTAGACAAAGAACTGAGTATTCTCTCATTACACTTTTACATTTTCAGCCTGTTATTATGAGTAACGTCCAATGAGGTTTGGGTGGTAAAAATTAAGTTTTGAAAAATGTATGTTGTGTTTTTTTCCTTATTTACTTAAAGGGGATTTTTAAAGGTATACTATACTTAATTAAATTGTTTTAGGTCTTAGGTAAGCCTCAGAACCTCCAGGTCACATTTTGTATCTGAAATTATGAAAGGTGAAAGCAACATGATGTTATGCAATATCTGCCTTTTTAGAACAGTGATAAATGTAACATATTTCTTTGTATCACTTTCTATTTCATCACTAAAATATAGGTCAGCAGAACACTCTGACAGCAGTCTGAGAAGTAAACTAATTAAGAAGCTTGTAAAAAAAAACAAAATAGTTAAAAAGATGCAATGATTCATAAACGCCTCAAACCCTTTTGTAAAAATGTAAAAACACAGTTTATAAATAGTTTTGCCCTTCTATCAGGTAAATAGGGGCCCACTCTTTAACACTGTGGCACAAATGCTTTTACAGAGGGAGAAAAACTTTCCTAAATGAGACAAAGCCAACTGTGGGAAATCTACAATCCCTGGCAGTAAGCAATGCTTTCAGTACAGTACCATATATAATTGACTGGAGTCCCTGCTGAAAAATTAAAATCATTCAAAAAATACAAATACTTGTACAGCAGTGGAAATTATAATCAATACAAATTATGATGCATACAGTAAGTGGTCAGAAGATAAATATTTGAATGTACAGTAAACAACGCAGAACAAATTCCTAGTGTGTTTCAGTTACTGAGCCAAGGGCGTGAAAAACAAAATATATCAGACATGTTACTGTCATCAGTTTTGACTTTAAATGAAATGTGAGTTACATAATATAGCTATTGGCTATGTACTATAAACATAGCAGAAGGAATGTAGAGTCAGCAATAAGTATGTTTTCCAGTTTAAGCAGGTTTCCCAACACTACATTTTATTGCAAAGCACATACATGCCCCTCCCCCCCAAAAAAAATAAGATGCAGGTCATTCAGTAACTAGCCTATTTCTTTAATCCTGTGACAGAAGATGTAATTTACCTACTGTAGCACAATTTCAAATCATCAAACCTCCCTTCACAGTTTTATTGGGGTTACTGCTTTCAGCATAACCGCAGCTGAAATTCTCTTTTACTTTAAAGACTTTCTTCCTCCTGTAAAGGTTACGTTGGCCTTTGGCTCCCGACAATTTACTCTGCATTCAATTTTCCTTCCTGCTGTCACGCAATTTTATTTCTGGGATGAGTCTGGATACTGGGAGGAGGATACCCCATGGAGGTCCACACCATAAATAGCATTTTCACAGAAAATAACCGTCCCTTTAAAGCCTCAAAACATCAATAGCCAAGCAAAGTTTTATTTTTGTTTATGGAACCAAGCAGATTATAAATTATGAAGCACATTTTATTTCCCAGTTCTTGGATGCAGTAAGAGATCTTTTAATCCTGATTTTCCCTGGAGTCCCTCTGGTAGGATTTAATGCTCTAAACTCGTTTTAATAACTATCTCAGTAGAAGCATTATGTGCCCCTTAATGTTATATTCTATAATTAGCCACATTAATTCTATTTAGAACAGAACGTCTTGTTTTGATATTTGAAGCATTAAAATTTAAGATGGAATATGGGCAGACAGTGCCTGGAAGGCAGTTATGGGCTTCACTGTGAGGAAGAAGAAATAAGGAACTTCAAGTTCTGCTGAAGTTATCTGGAAACTCTAATAAACTTTTGTCTAGGCTTTACTGTGTGGATTTTGACAGTGATGCATTATTGATGGTCAGCAGAGATACTGCTAGCTTCCAGGAGAAGGGACAGTGTTGTAATGCCCATAGCATTACCTTAATCTCAAAGCAGCATGAATTATTGAAAAATATACTTTCTCTTCAGGTATATACTACATTTGTCTTCCATGCAAATCTTAAACTGTAATCCAAATATTTCCAGTAATACATTACATTATCAAAGTGGTATTCCATAATAGATGAGCCTTTGGTCTGATGACTGACAGGTTTTGGGTTCATGTCCCAGATACAGTCCACCTACAGTACTATAGCTGTATACTGTAAGTGGAGAACAGCACTGCTAGGGGTATTTTATGTTCTAACCTTAATATAATTTTGATTTACAGTGTAACAGTATAAATAATTTAAGTGCATTTTATCCCAGACCAGACAAACAGGACACCAATATTAAAGCTGTTTTCAGAGAGAAGTCAAATGCTTATCGTGATTCTTTTCAGCAAGAGGGCAAATCTGAGAGGGTTCTGGGGTCCTCCTCCAAGAAGCTGTAGCCAGGCCCCTAAATCTCCAAGGACAAGCCTGTAGCTGTTCCTCTCTGAAATGCTACAGCTGTATTCACACACTCCTTACCTCAATTATGATGCATAGTAAAGTTTACAACTCTCTTATACAGAGAAAGAATACAAATATCCAGCAATAAAAAATACAAACACCCTGCATTTTCTCCTCTAAAAGGTACACGCACATTTAAAAAAACCGCAGCATTAAGTCATGAAAAAGATCAGGGAATATAAGATGTGTGAAAAATGGAAAACAAATGTTAAACTTACAGTTTAGCTCCACTGTGAAGTGTAGACAGGGAGGTGCTAAATCTTTTCACATTGTACTTATTAATTAATGATGATGACAGACCTTACGTGTGCAAAGGCGTCCAGGAAATATGTACAAGGAAAATGACAATGATTCACTTTTGGATGTTCTGTGGAGGCAGACAGGGTTAATGTTTTGTGTCTTGGGCTGGTCATGCTTCATAACCCTGTCGCTGTGTTTTCTCTGGCACTGTGACTCACCGCTGTGGGAGACCATGTGGCTGTCCTTATGCAACTCAGGCTTTCCCTCTAGAAGAGCACATTACAGGCAGGCCTGCATTCTGAGGCTCTGCACTGCACTTACAGTGGCACTGACCACCACTGCGTTTTCACTTTTTGGATATAAACAGCATCTACATACAGTACCTCTGTACGGTATTTTGTATGCCCTTGCTCTTATTTAAACCTTAGTGTTTCCTGTTTGCCTCTGCAACTTAATCGTTTATCCTTATTTTTGTGAAATCTTTTCTTTTTAGTCTTCCACAGTAAGCGTGCTCACTGAAAAACCCAGACCCGCAGATGTAGAAATCAGCAGGTTTCTGGAAAGAAGGATGGTCTAAATGTCATAGATCCCAAGATCATTTTGTACATTTTGTTAAATACTGGGAAGTTGCAAATCAACGCTGTATTTGTTTGTTGTATCTTGAACGTGGAAGGAACACACTGTTTCTTTATGAGCTAGCAAGTGAAAGTAGTATGCTGCACAGTAAACGAACATAAAGGAGACATAACTGAGTATTATAACTGCTTATCATATTCTCTCTTATACCCTTCATCTCTGGATGAGAGCACTTGATGAATCTGTTGTGGGATCAAACCCCTCAGCTCCTACAAAATAATTATGTTACAGTGTTTAGCCTTATGAAAGCTATATTGCAATAGACTTACTTATTGATGTTGACTTTGCCCACAGCAAAACAACCTTAGAGCTCACGTTTGTCAA